CTTTTGCTTTGAAAAGAACACTACCCTTTTTCTTCTTTAGTCTAATTAGTTGAAAGGCATGCATGCTGATGCTGCGTGAGTTAATGTTCCACATAACTTTTTACATGTGGGAAAGTGTTGAGAATTGTATCTTAGAAGTGTAAGATGTGATAATATATTTATTATTTATTTAATAAAAAGATTTATTTATCATTTTATGTGTATATATTTGTGAATATTTAATGAATATCAATGAAATTTTCATAATTATTTATGTGACCTTAAATATTGTATATAAGTGTTATATGCGAGAGGATAATGTTTAATAATAATAATCAAAAAATGATGTTCGTAATAAATTTAATTAAAGTTCAGAATCTTTAATTAGAACATTACTAATACATGTCATTCTCATTTAGAATAGAACGGTGTTATCCACACTGTTAATATGGTGAGATATTGAATGAGCGTATTATGCATAATAAGATTATGTGGAACATGGACACAGACACAATATGAATTTCTAATAATTTCCGTTAAGTATAGAAATATCAATTGAGTCTACCGATGGTCATATATAGAATGATCTTAATCCCGAGTTCTTAACAAACTCCTATTTATGGATTTGTGTCTTTTGATTTACTCGGTACGGATTTTGAGAACCTGAATCTTATTCTTTGTATTTTGGAGACATGATGAAGTAGGTAGCCGGGAATGTTATTATACGAGATGGAATCCATTCCTTCTTGAGAAAGAAGCAAATAAATAATTCTCTTGAGTGTTGATTCGGTACTTGAATTAGTAAGAGTGTTCTGGTTCATGAATGTGTTTTATGAATCACTATCCATTAGAGAATCAATAGTACTCAAGGATGAAGATATAATTAGAGAGATTAACGGATTCTACCTAACTCTAATTATGAATTATTTATTGAGGATTGATCTATATGCAGTGACTATATCAAATTGACACTTCACAGTTTAGAAGTAATTTATGTTTACAATTTTGAAAGTGCAATTCTAAGTTTATTGTGGAGTAACTATTAGAATTAATAGAATTAATTAATTAATTAAAGTGGTTAATTAATTATTAATTTTATTAGAGCTCGGGATTACAGGTCCATTAGTCCTCGCGCCGTCCTAGTAATTCTACAAGACACAAAGGGCAAAATAAAAATTTTAGAATTACAGAATTCTAAAATTAAACACTCGAGAATAATTAATTAAGAATTAATTATAAATTAAATAATGTGATTATTTAAATTTAAATTTGAATTTTGGATCGCATTGTGTGAACACATAGTGTGAACACAATTTAAATTTATCATTTTAAACTTATTTGATAAGTTGTTCAATTTATAATTCAAATTAATTTAAGTTTGACTTAAATTGAAATTTGAATTTTGAGTTAAAATTGGACTGCAAGATAAAGGATGATTTTCTCTTCATTTCCTATCTGTATTTGGCGCCTACCACAAGGATAGGATCACCTAATGTTGGCCGGCCATATTGAGGATAAGGAGTAGGAGATTTTTGTTCCAAATTCAAATAGAAGATAATTAACAAACTTTATCTTGGAGATAAATATTGGATTTCTTCTAAGAGTTTGACTTCTACTCTATAAATATGAGAATGATAGAAAATTATGTGACACAATTTTTGTCCTATTTTTTGAGTGGTGGCCGAATTCTCTAGTATAGTGAGAGGAAAAATTTTTCTCAAAAAATTTCACATCATGCATGCGTTGGTGTTTGTGTAAGTTCGAGTGTTTCTTCTAACATATTTTGTCTCAGGTGTGCCCACACACACGTCTTTATGGATTTTAAGAATTGACTTGGAAGACATTGGTTTTCTAAACACAAGGCTTTGGAGCAAGGATTGTTCGTGGTCAAAGAATTCAAGTTATCATCCTAATCGGCTTTCAAGTATAATTCTTAATTGACTTCTTATTAAATAAATTAATGTGATTAATTTATTCGTGCATAAATTAATATAATCTATAGAGTATTTTAAAAGTTTTATAAAAAATTTTGTTATACACGATCTGCTACCATCACGCTTCCACTTGATTCGGAAGCCAACAGAAAGTTGCTAAACGTTTGGGATTATAATGTGCAAGAATGATAGTGGGAAAAGAAAAGGTTTGTGCCTGGTAGTGGAATATAGATAAAGTTTTAAGTACCGTCCTAAATATATATATATATATGTATTTCTGGGTAACATAATTTACATGTGTAATATTCAATTGTTTAAGTGTAATACTCAATGTAATATGTCTTAGATCACTTTTTTTTTAAAAATTTTACACTTAAGTAAATTTAGTTTTACACACATAAATGAACGATGTTACTTGGGGATAAATAAAAGTTGCATTTGCTGGACTGAATCAGCTGCCGGAATTTAGACATTTTCTAGAATATAAATACTACGTGTATAGTAACTAAAATAAATTAGTTAAGAAGAACAATTGATTAATAGCATGCATTCATAAACAGGTGGAATTATTAGATATTTAATTGTTGATAATTCAAAAGCATTTGATTTCCTAGGATCAAGCGATTTATCTCCATGCATGGCATTGGCAAAGACAGACAAAACCGAACACCAAAGCCAGCGGTGTTGTTTAAAGGAGGAGGCAACTTTGTGCTGGACCTTTTGCTTTTTGAGTTGGATGATTTATCAATGTTCCAATTCCTTGTTATCCAATGGCTGCACCAAGCCCCAAAGAAAATCAATATCTATATTTTTTTTTAGAATTTTTTAAGAAGCTTTTTCCTTATCCTTTTAGGTAGGTATATGCTTTCCATTGACTTCTTTTCTAAGCTAATAATAAAATAAAAAATAAAAATAAAAAAACTTCATTTCTAAGTTTATGAATTAAAAAAAAAAAACACTGACTTTGCCAAAAACTAGGATTAGCATATTCCAGCCTTGATTGATGGAAATGTTCTCAAGCAATTTGAGCAATGGAAATCTTTGGTATACACTTCCAAGGAAGGTCTTTGATAAAATCGGGATTCTTGTAGGCTATGTTTGTTTTACTAGTTTAGTTCAGTTCAATTCAGTTTAAATAATGAGCACAGTTTGAACTGACGTTTGGTAATCATGCAGTTTGAATTATATTCACCGTTTGAACCGGGTTAAACGGCCCAACTTAGAGTTTAGCTCCCCCCTCAAGTTCAACCGTTCAAACTATTTTTAAAAAATAAAAAGTGTCTACTCTCTCTGCTTTTCACACTTACTAAATACAAATTCAAATTTTATTCTCTGTTCAAATTAAAACTTTAACTATACATCTAAACATCAATTTAAATTATAATTTAAACCACACAATTTTAAAATTTATTGTTCAAATTAAAAAATTCAAACCAATAAAATTTAAACTAACAAACTAAACGATGGCGTAAGTATTCTTTGGCTCCCCTCTTATAATTCCACCTTCATTTATTGCGTCATGTCCTTTTTGTTTACTAAAGAAATATAATTTTTAGAATCTTTAAAGCAAATGCAATGAGGGATAAAAAAGTCGAGGACTTTTTAATTACACAATCACGTGAACCACTTAAAAATCTAAACAATCTCACAGGGACAAGAAAATCGTGATCTTCACAATTTTAGACCTCGTTCGTTTCGCTAATTTGAGTCTAAAATTCGAGTTGAGATGTGATTTTATGTGAGAGCTTTTTACTGTAGTAAAAAAGTTAGATGTGACTGTTTGTGAGAGCTTTTTACTGTAACAAAAATCGAATTCTAAACTCGAATCAGCAAAACGAACGGGATCTTAATCTAGTTAACAGAGGTTCAGTGAGTCTATAAAAAAAGTCACATGGTTAAAGAAAACACCAAAATGACAGAAAATTATTGGCCAGTTTGGTTCTAAGATTTAAACCCCTTATTCTAATTCGCTCACTAATAAAAAATTTGAATAAAAAAAATTTCTCTCACAAAATTTGAATTTAAAATCAAAATTATTTATTTAAACGTGTGAACTAAATATACCATATTAATTTATTGAATGAAAGAGGGATTCTGATTCCAATTGCACCCCGGTGTTTTGACTTTTAGGGCTAGAACAAAAATAAAATGAAATTTATGCCTAAGGATGGCAATTCGTGTTAGTGAGTCGTGTTTGCGTCAACCCGTTTATTTATCGTGTCAAAAAATATCAACTCAAACACGACATATTTATTAAACGTGTCAAAAATGTCAACTCAAATACGACTCATTTATTAATCGTGTTAATCATGTCAATCCGTATACCCCGTTTAAATTAATATATTGAATAAATAACTAATATAATAATGACTTATTTAATACGGTCAAGACATGTTTAACTTATTTATTGGTCAATTTATCTTTTCTTTTAAGAAAAAGAAATGAATTTTACCTACAAATATTAAAATTCACACTTTGTATTTAATGTCACATAAACTTTCATGTTATATCACATATCATTAAATTACAGATGACACATATAATTAATCGTGTCACTTCGGTCAATCCTAACCCAACCTGTTTATTAATTATGTTAATCATGTCAACTCGATTATGATCCAAATCCATTTATAATAAACTCAAACACACTAACTTCGTACGGATTTCGAGTCGTGTCATCATATCACCACTCGGATTGTCATCGCTATTTCCGCCACAAAAAAATAGAATAATTATAGTTTTGTATTGAAATATAAAAACTTTTTGAGCAACGTTTAAAGTTTATTATACTAACAAATAGTCTTGATTCTCTACAACTTAGACCAGATGCTGCACATTGTAAAGTTGTGCACATAGATTGTTCTCTTGACCAATGATGCCCAATAGGCCTCCTCAGAAAAGAGGGAAAAATAAAAAATACCTTGGAAAGATAAGTAATCAGTGTGTGCCTATAGCAAGATGGAGTGAACTCCCCAGAGCACAACATTAAGCCATATTGTTTTGTTTTAAGATATGAACACATTTGGGAATCACCTACCAACCAAATCAAATATGGAATCTGAACATAACAGCCAGAGGTTTTTATTTATCTATTTATTTATCCATCTACTAAGTAATTAGCTTCATTTTACAAGTTAAACTTACAACATGACGTTTATTTTCCACCGGTTACATTATATTCCCAAGGGAAAGAAGCAATTGTTCATAATAAATTATTGGTAGTCAGGACCATATTCTTTTGTTTCTGGAGCAACTGGGAACTCTTTTTTGGAAGCATGTGAACTTGATCAAGTTTCTTACTTCAACTCTAAGAACTGAGAGAGTGCGGAAGAACTTTATAAGGGTTGAGTATTCCTCTGGGGTCCAGCAGTTTCTTTATAAAAGCCATTAGTTGCACCTGTCCAAACAGATTATGCGTTCACACATTCATAAATAACTATTATTTCTCGCAGAAGGGGAAAAGAAAGGAAAGATCAGTTGATATCCAATGTTTTAAAATCCTTTTAATGCTCACAGTATTCGTCGACTTGCTATAGAAAATCTCAGTAGCTTTCATCAGCCCTAGCCCGTGTTCGGCACTGATACTCCCACGATGTTTAGATGTCCATTCATAGACGAAGGGCTCTATTTGTGCTAGTATCTGCAACCTTATCGAGTATTTTGTTAGAACTGAGAACCGTAGCTAAAATATTGTAGGAGGATTGAAGGAATTACCTTTTCCTCATACTGAGGAGCTGAAATATTGAGATGCAAATTACCGTCTCCAAGGTGACCGAATGCAACTACCTTAGCTAGTGCACCTTAAAAATTCCAAAGAGAAAAAGAAAGGGAAAAAGACTTTATTTCGACAGGAATAATAAAATGTAACGTATTAAAAGATAGGATTAATTACAAAAATTCCATCTGAACTATACCCATTATAACACTTTGCCATTACGTTTTTTGACGGAAATTGCTATTTAATTTGTTATTTTGCGGTACATTAGTAGCTCTACCGTTTAAAATTTAGTTTAAATTTAAAACTAATTTAAATTTAAAACTAATTTAAATTTAAACTTTTAATTATGATACATCCATTATTGATTGCATGTAATTTAAAAATTTTATGAATATTTTTTGGTAGAATAAAAAAATTTATGAAGTTTTTTTTAATATTTAAGTTAATTTAAATTCAAATTAAATTTTAAACCATAGAGTTACTAAAATACCCTCAAAATAACAAATTAAATATCAATTTCAGTTAAAAACCTAACGAGAGGGCTATTTTGTTAACATTTCATTGTTCATGGGAACATATGTTACGTTTTAAAGATCAATGGGCAAAGTGTTACAACGAGTATAATTCAGGGAAATTTTTGTAATTAATCCTAAAAGATATGTATTAAACTCAAGTTAAGCCAGTTATACATATTAGCAAATATAGTAACATGTGTCTGACCTGTCAAATCATTAAATAAAAACAGTACTACCATCTCAAGGAAAACAACATTTCATACTATTGAAAGCAGCTATATGAACTTTGCTTACCAAGTCTTGTTCGCATTTCCTCAACAAGATCATACATCTTTTCAATAGGTAAGGACAAATCATATTTGTAAACTGCCCCTGCTTTCATCAATGCTTCTGGTAAACCCTGAAACCATAATACAAATAAAAAAAGAACACGAAGTTAAAATGCGAAACAAATATGAAAATGTTTGCTCCACAATCAGTATTTTTAAGGCCTATTCTTGCTGAAGACTCATGACATTAAGTTCACATGATAACAGTACAGACAACATTAGGAAGCAAGCGGTGAAATTTTGAATAAAGTCAGTCCTAGGAATTCTGATAATTTGTTTCCTAGTTTGTTTCCTTAATTTGCTGCTTATTGTGATAACGAGATTTGGGTAGGACACTACCTGATTTCTCTCTGATTTTTTTTACCTAGTTTAGTAGAGGAATAATCTTGGTAAATTAGGCTGTAATTACGGAGAATAGAGGCAGCAATTAGGTGGCATTTGCTGGCCTTTACGCGTATTTAATCCCTGTAGTTTTTCCTCATTCTGAATAAGAAAAATCAGAATCTCTTCCTCAGTTTTTCTTTATGGTATCAGAGGACCTCTCTGAATATCCAAAATTCCTCTCATGACCAAATACGGCAAGGCAACTGAGAGCCAGATTCAACCTCTACCGAAGTCATCTCCAATTCAGAGACTACAGTTTCAAGCCACAATGGAGGATCGGAAGGCTCTCTTCTCCCAATCACTGTTATTCAATACTTCAACACACCGACACTTGAGGCCTCTACACTCACTGCATAGGGAACCCAATCTGCCAATACAGAAAATTGCAAGAAAAAAGGGCAAATCAGGCCCGAATCAGGACCATTCAACAAGAAGCAATTGGAGGTACTGCAGAAATTAATCAGCCAATCTACACACCAGAACACAACCTCCACAATCATAGGGACAGGTTCGTTAGCACGAAAAATGCAAACTTGCGGATGCCTCACTGTTAATAAAAAGAAAACAAACCCGTGGATCGTTGACTCAGGGGCATCAGATCACGTGACTTGAGACCCAACTGTTTTTCATAAATACAACCCATGTCTCGAAAATTATACAGTTCGTATTGCTGATGGATCTCTCTCAAAAAGTGGTTGAAATAGGTTCAGTTGTGTTAGTTTACCAATCCATCCCAAAAGCTTAAGCTGTTAGGATGTGGGCTAACAGTAATTTTATACTTTAACACTCCCCCTCACGTGTGGGCTGGATAATGGGCAATCGTGTGGGTAAATTAATTGGAAAGCCCAACACGTGAATATTTAAACCCAAGATATATAAAGACCCAACACGTGATGACAATTTTAAATGGGGATAAAGAGTGCAATTACGAGGGTTTGAACTCAGAACCTCCCGCTCTGATACCATGTTAGTTTACCAATCCATCCCAAAAGCTTAAGCTGTTAGGATGTGGGCTAACAGTAGTTTTACACTTTAACAAGTTGTAATCTCAAAGGACCTGACACTAGATTATGTGCTCCTTGTTCCAAACCTTGATTGCAATTTATTGTCAATTAGCAAACTGACCCGTGAACTGAATTGTGTTGCTGAATTCTCTCCTAATCTATGTAAATCTCAGGTCTTGGATTTGGAGAGGATGATTGGCAGTGCTAAGGCGTGTTCAGGGCTCTACCTTCTCAAGAATGATTCTACACTTGAAATACTAGCCCAAACAGTAAGTTGTGTGTCCTTAAAGAGTCAGTCAGATAAAAAGTCAAGTCCTATTTGTAATTTCAATAATGATAGTGTATTTATGCTATGGCACTATCGCTTAGGTCATTTAAACTTTGCATATCTAGAGAAGTTGTTTCCCTCTCTATTCATCAATAAAAGATCAAAGCACTTTTCATTGCAAAATTTATCAACTTGCCAAGCATACTCGTATTTCATATCCTAGTCAAACTTACAAACCATCACAAGCATCCGCATTAATTCATAGTGATGTGTGAGGGCCATCAAGAGTTAAAAATTTGACAGGTGCTAGGTGGTTTATTTCCTTTATCGATGATCATACTCGACTCACATGGATTTTCCTAATGAAAGAAAAGTCTTGAGACGTCAAATATTCAAAAATTTCAACACCATGATTTAAACACAGTTCCAGTCAAAAATCCAAGTGTTGAAAATCGATAATGCCAAAGAATAAGTCAATCTTAGGAAACTATCTGTCAAGGAATAATTCATCAAAGCTCCTATGTCGACACCCCCCAACACCTTTTAGAAGTAGCTAGATCACTCATGTTCTCCACACATGTCCCTAAGCATTTTGGGGTGAAGCCATCCTTACCGCTGCATATCTTATCAATAGAATGCCCTCAAGAGTCCTTCAATTCCAAATCTTTCTCTTGTCATTTTAATCCTACACCTTGGATCATTGATTCGGGTGCCTCTGATCATATGACAAATCTTTCTCATATATTTCATCCTTTTTTGCCATGTTCGGATGGAAAAAATGTTAGAATTGCAGATGGAAATTTTTCATCCATTAAAGGAAAAGGTTATGTCAAAATTTATGAAAAGATAACTCTAAAATCTGTCCTTCACGTCCCTAATCTTGCATGTAATCTTTTATCTGTGAGTCAACTTTCTAAAGATTCTAATTGTCGTGTTACCTTTTTTGATTCTCACTGTGAATTTCAGGACTTGAGCACGGGGATGATGATTGGCAGCGCTAGAATGGAGGACGGCCTCTACTATTTTGATGACAACTTTCTCCACAATAAATGAACTTAAGGCTTTAGTAGTAGTATTAGTTCTCTCTGTTCGTGAACAAATGATGATTGGGCATCTTAGATTAGGAAAATATCAATTTCCTGCTCTATTCAAAAATGTGGATTGTTCATCTTTTCAATGTGAAAGTTCTCATTTATCTAAAAGCCATCATACTACTTACAATCCAAAACCATATTGTGCCTCAAAACCATTTTACTTGATTCACAATGATGTTTGGTGACCTTAAAAAATTACAACATTTTCAGGAAAAAAATGATTCTTTACCTTTATAGATGACCATACTCCGTTGTGTTGGGTATATTTGATGAATGATAAATCTGAAGTTGAAAATTTATTCAAGATTTTTTATAACATGGTTGAAAATCAATTTCAAACAAAAATAAGTATCCTTCATTCGGATAATGGGATCGAGTATTCAATCAATTCTTGGGAGATTTTTTAAAAGAAAAAGGAAATCAACTTCAGTCTACTTGTAATGATACCCCCCAACAAAATGGTATTGCTGAGAGAAGAAATAGACATTTATTTGAAGTTTACTTGTGCTATTATGTTCAATATGTATGTTCCAAAATATCTATGAGGAGATGCTATCTTAACAGCTTGTTATTTGATCAACAGAATGCCTACCCGTGTTTAAAGTATATAACACCTTTGAGTGTTTCAAAAATTTCTTTCTTGAGTGTCGAATTTTCTCTGACTTACCCTTAAAAAATTTTGGGTGTACTGTGTTTGTCCATATACCTAATCGACTTCATTCCAAACTTGATCCCAAGGCAGAAAAATGTGTTTTTATCGAGTATGCACCAAATAAAAAGGGAATAAGTGTTATAATCCTCACACCAAAAAATACTTTGTAAGTATGGATGTCTCGTTTGTAGAAAATCAACCTTACTTTGGGCAAAATTGTTTTCAGGGGGAGATAGAGAATAGTGAAGCTCAGTTTTGGGAGACAAAAACAGAAACAGTTCATCCTCTGCCCAACATTTCTGTTCCTTTGCCTAACACCTCTATTCCACTACCTATCCTTGATTGCTCCTCTTCAAATAAGCAAGAAATTGATATGCCATTGCCAAACTTAGCAGCTTGCAAACATGGGGAGAAATACTAAGAAAAGATTGCAATAATCCCTCCTCAGAGCTTTGTGTTTATGCCCGAAGGAGCACTCATAAAAAAAAATAAATAAAGACTTGCCTACAACTCGAGCACAAGACCAATCACTGTCTCCGAGCAATAGTCCATCTACTACTCCAGGTAACTCTTCTAATCCTCCTTTGTCAAATTCTACTCCTATTGTATTTGATCTTGATGTACCTATAGCACTCATGAAAGGAGTCCGAACCTATACTGAACATCTGATAGGTCCCCGCCTCTTAAGTTTGTATATGCTAGAAGAGGGAAGAGAGACAAACAGGGGCAGGCTGGTAATTTGGGGTAACATTGAGCATGGAGATGAGGAATTCAGTTGGGGTATTCGGTTTTGGTATGGGGAAGGTCGAGGGGGTAGCGGTCAGTTGGGGAGGGGGAGGAGTTAGTTACGAGCAAAGAGAATAAATAGCCTAGCTGGGGGTAAGGGAAAGGTATCGAGATTTCTTGTTTGGGTTTAGCTATTCCTGGAGGTAGAGGGTCCTCGAATTCTCCTCTTATCCTGTATTCCGTTTGTTTTCATTAGTAAAGTAACCAGAACCATTTCCTCTGGTTCATTTCTTCTATATTTTGGCATCTGTTCATTCCAATTGGTGTAAATTCCTGAGAACTACTTAGAATCCTAACAAGTTGGTATCAGAGCACCGATCTATGGCGCACCAGCTAGATCGAGTGGGATCCTTGGAGAGATGGTTGAAGAATTTCCAAGATGCTCTTCAGACATTTGAAACGACGGTGGATCCAGTACCTCGGTTGCAGGAGGAAGTGGCCTCCATGGGAGTACGGATCGGCGAGATGCAAGGGGAGGTTACTGCGGTGGGAGCCAAGGTGGAAGGGATCCAAGGCACCATCAAGAGGAGCTCACGTTACGACAAGCTCGGAATTACCGTTCACCCCCACGGCGACCCAGAGAAGGCAACTCTCCTTTTGGGAGACTCTCGGAGGATCGAACTCCACCAAGGCGCGAACTTGGACGGCCAGCTCGAGCCGCTCCAAGTCCTCCGAGAAGGGAACAGGCTGGAGGAAGGGAAGGCTACAACCGTTATCGGTCTCCAGAGAGGCCACGCGCACGGGTCGAACATCGGGGTAAGAAACTTGAACTTCCTGTATTTCATGGCGAAGATCCGCACGGATGGGTTTTTCAAGCGGAACGGTACTTTGCCATTAATGACGTCGACGAGAGAGAGAAGGTGGTGGCCGCTTCAGTATGCAT